GTGCCCAAAAGGAAATGTTAAGTGTTTAAGCCAGTTTTTGAAAACTCAAGTGTGTGGAGTTATAAGTAATATCTTCTTACTCTTGACCATTTAGAATCATCCTGCAGTAGTTTTTTTGCAAAGTCTTGGACGAATCTCCTTGGTTTTCATAGAATAGATGACAGGTTGAACATGAGTAGCATAAAGAGATTGAAACTATCCGTAGAGATAACCTTCCACACACTTATCAAGAGGCGCTACATTACATATTTCCCCTCATCTCTTCATCATTCCTCCTATTTAATTTATATTATTACTTTTAACCCAAAGTAATTTAATTTATGAAAAATCTTTTTAATAATTTCTTTCAGAACAGAATGGCACCTGAGTCCTGACAGTTTCTGGATTTCCTAATCCTTTCTCTCAACCAAAGAATTGCTTCTCACCTGTGTTCTTTATCTCTTTGAATAACACCATCATTACATTTAAGACTGGGGCAAGAAACCCAAACAGCACTTTGACTCTTTCCATCTTTTCCCTACTTCCTTGAGCCAGGAAACAATCCACAAGTACACTGACCCCAAAGTGTCTTATTTGTGTCTCTCATTTACTTCCATCTGTGCCCTGGGGCTTGAGAGCAGCTTAAATATATGGTCACCATCATGGTGATGGCTCTGAGGTTCATAAATGCCTCCATCTTTTTAGAAAAGTAGTTTCAGTTTTTAATTAATCCAAGACAAAAGATTGGGGCTACAACAGGAAAATTTAGTTTGAAACATCAAAGCCATGTATTTAAAAATTTGGGAGCCAGTTCAACTTACAGAGTCTCCTTACTTAGAGCTGGAGTTGGTTGTAGATGTTCCTAACTCAATGAGACAGTGTTCCTTCAAATTCAAGCTCTTCCCATGCTCAGCTATTTTTTTACCAAAAGAAATGCTCCCAGAGCTGAGTTTCATAAAATTGAATTAAGCATAACTGAGGGTGAATCTTCTCCCATTCCAAAATGTGGATTTTGAATATATAAACTAATTGAAAGAAAAATAGATCTTATTATTTAAAAAAATTGTACATTTTAAATAGACATTTGTATTTATAAATATTTAAAATAATATCTATATTCTATATTTTATGTTATTAAAATGAATATCTACCTTAAGAACTATATTTTAAGATGTTTTTGTTTAATATTTATGATAAAAGAATTTAACCAGATCAAGAGAATGATGATTGGTTTTGAGACATGGACTTGCATGGTACTAATATCCACTGATATTTATGATTTTGATCCATACAATTTGCTGTGGGTTGATTATGTCCTACTTAAAATTCATATGCTAAAGCCATAATCCCCAGTAATTGAAGATAGCAATTTTAGGATGTAGTAGATGTTCAATTAGTCTTAAATGCTAGAACCTGATATGACAGTATTTTTAGCTTCCTTGTAATAAGAGATATTTGAGAGCAACTGAGGATCTCCTCGAATACTCACTGTGTGGCCCAAGTGTAATATTCAGTTGTAGTAAACAATAAACATTTTTTTCAGTCTCCTGAAGGTTATTGGTGAGGGACATCTTGTAATCACAGCAGAATTATAAGGACTGGTTCAGCCACAACACTGATTATTGATAGACTGTGACCAGGTTACAACAAGCTTCGACAGAGGGAATCCAAAGTACAAGGACTTGATAGACAGCTGATGTCAAGCTATCTGAGGGAATCTACCTGGAATACCAATGCCATTTACTACCAGAACCAGTGTTCTGGGCATGTAATCTGGGCAGTTGCACAGCACCCATGCTCAGAAAATTCTGCCTTGTGCTTTCCTAAACACTTTTCTGTCATTATCATGAAATTCTTAATCATTTTATTTTTGAACTTGTGTTTTGTCAGTGAAATCCTGTGGTACAATGTTGCTTGCACATGCCCACCACCATTACCTGCAGCCCCATTCGCATAACTCTTTCACGGTCTCTCAGGGGTGCAGAAATCAGGTGGACCCCAAATGAACAATAGCTGAAGCAAGCACACAAAAATACATAGAAAAGGAAATAACTAGGAGACAAGGAAATAAACAAGAAAGTGGGAGATGAGAAGGGCAGATGGGGCAGATGAAATATAAAACACACTATGTTTACTTTCTACTTTGCTCAAAGTCATGAAGGAGCATTAATTTTCCTTACTTCTTTCTTATTTTATCATTATTATTCT